AGCTGGTACCGGTATGCCTTCCCAATCACTGTTGGCAGGCTTCCCGAATGGAAGTTGTCATGTGAGTTGAATGTCCCAAGCAATGACAGCATTCCAAACTCGCTGGGCTTGCACCAGTAAGCAGATTCCGTCCAGCGCCAAGTAGGTTGAGCGAAGACATGGTTCCTATCTCACTCGGCAATGGACCTGTCAGAAAGTTGCCTGTTTCTCGATACCCTGCCCTGTTGTACCCAACACTCAACCCTTCAAGAGAACATAGTGCCCCCAGCTCGCTGGGAATAGTGCCCACAAGTAAGGAATGGTCCCACTGATATAGTTGGCCACAACCGAAAAAAGTCGAACTGTGTCATCAATGCAATCTCTTAAGGAATGGTTCCCTTCAAACCAATCCCTTTTAGGGCTAATTCTCTCAAACTTGATAGGTGTGGCAGCTCGGGAATCCAACAGAATTCCTCCAGGGTTGGTTGTATCCACAGCGTTGTTGTTAACCTCACCCAAGTATATACTGAACAAGGATATGAACAAGGAAATCACGTGAGGGATGCTTGCTGACAAACCAGTGAGTCCAAGGTTATGCAAATAAAGGTTGGTGAATTTCTGTGATCATTGCATGGGTACCGGTAACTAGAAGACTCAGGTGAATATGGATAGAACGTTCCATCCAAGTCGAAGAGTCCCACACCACTGGAGAATCAAGTGCTCACATCCCTCCTTTGTGTCATCCATCCATTGCTCCTTAATGAGTGGATTCCAATTCTCTCCCTCCATGGTGCACTACGCTAAAAGCTAGTGTAAAGATCTTTCGAGTGTTTTGAGTTTGAGAGAATGAAAGTTATGAGAGGATTAGAAAGCTATGAAAAACTAATCAACGAGAGAGATCCACAATCAAAGGATCGTAGATCTGAACTCCCGCGGGAGACTGTAGAGTGTGATAGAGTAGGTTGCGGTAGCAATCCTACTCACTCCACGATCAAAAAACGTAACGCGTGGAAGATTCGTCTAGCATTTATCTAGTAGCATGGAATCTCTCCACGCCAGCTAAATATCTAGCGCGATGTTTCACCATCGACCTAGTATGACTAGCGGTCATGAGAACCCTGTCTCAATGACTATTCGCGAAGGACTACATCATGAGTCGAACTCAAACCCTATCTAGGATCGAGTCGCGAATAAGGCTAAGAGCCGTGTATTGCATTAGCCCCCTGACAAGGGTCACGGAAGGCACGACATCAGTCGGACAAGGAGAACATATGAATTAAAGTGCGGGGCACTCTCCGGAGATTGGATGTAGACATGTGCGTCGCACGATGGCAATCCTACAAGGGGATCAGGCCTTGTATTGGTGTAAATACCTTATGTTACAAGTCTGGTAGACTGTGCCGCTACTGGCGGTAGTATGTCGGAGCCGTACAGTGCCATTGTTATTGACTCGGTCTGTGTGGTAAGGACCTTTGTGCGTTGGCTGACCGTACTAACGGTTTCGATACTGATGAATCATCATAGTATCGTTGACATGGTGTTGATGAGGGACACGTGTCGTGTTCTCCTTATCGGTGTTTTCCTGGATAAGTCGTTGGCGACGTTCCTTAATGTATTTCCGGTTTGCTTTGAAACGGATGTAGTGAGTCTTGTCACGATTGACGCGCGTGAACTTGCGACGAAGTCCATGTTCATCCCGGAGAGTCTTCTCGACCTCTGCAGGGACTCACGTTCTCTGTCCATGACAACCGGTCATGGATACTGGGTAAACCACGTCTGTTTCAGAACGGTGGTTACTCCGTCTGCTGTCTTGGAGCAGCCCTTGGTAGTTCGTTGGTCCAATGAATCTACGAAGTTCCTTCCTGTTGGTAGGAAGAGCGATAGCTGGATCACATCTGCTATCTTTTTAGTTAAGGGTTGGATTCCTTCTCGAGTAGTCCAACTGTCTAGATACTCCAGTTCTTCCTTTCGAGGAAGGCCTTGGTAGTGTTGATTTCAACCCCGACTTCTTGAAGTCTTTGGAAAAGGTCATCTAACTATTCAACGCGATCCGCCAGATCGACGTCAGTTAGGATGAGTTGATCATCAATGTATGCACGGACATTTTCTAAGTCATGCATGCGTGTTTTCATCTTCTTTTGGAAGATGTCGGGACTATTACATAGGCCCATTGGCAACCTCTGGTACTCGTGCTTTCCCCTCGGGAGTGCAATGGTACAGTGTTGCTTCGAGTGAGGTGACAGCTCGATGTGGTAGTGTCCCGTGTTCAGGTCTAGACTAGTAGCGCACTTGAATCCATTTAGGTTCAAGAGCATGTCCTGTATTTTTGGGATAGGATAAGGCTTCCGCTCGATCCTTTTGTTCAGTTCCCGAAAATCAGAGATGAATCGTACAGATCCCTCTTTCTTGGGAATGATAAAAGTTGGTGCCGCCCACTCGGAACGATTCACCTTCTTGAGTACTCCTGCCTCGCAGAGACGTTCAACCTCCTTCTTAAGAGTGTTGGTATGGACCCGTGGAGTAGGGTGAGCCCTAGTATAATAGGATTTAGCGTCGGGACGAAGTTCTACTTCGTAGTCGTCCATTCGCAACTCTCCCCAAGTATCCTCGACTGGGTCGAAGCACTTGGTTGAAAAGGCATGAGGCAGTTCTTGCTCTTCCTTATTTAACTGGTTTCGACTCTGGCACATCTGCCTTAAGTCTATTTGTTCGTATATCGTGTCAAGAATCTTCTTGAGACTATCTGCATTGTCGCGGACAGCTGCAGGATCGGGAAAGGAGAAGTTCTCCTTTCTATTGGCATCGCCATCTTTCGCAGGGAAAAATACGCTGTTCCACCCCAATGACATGGTAGTGAAATCAAACTTGATTCTTATGCAATACACGGCTCTTAGCCTTATTTGCGACTCGATCCTAGATAGGGTTTGAGTTCGACTCATGACGTAGTCCTTCGCGAATAGTCATTGGAGACAGGGTTCTCAATGACCGCTCTAGTCATACTAGGTTGATGATGAAACATCGCTCTAGATATTTAGCCAGCGTGGAGTACTTCCACAGTACTAGATAAATGCTATCTTAGCATGAGTTTGAGTAATTAAAGTTCCGGATGCTCCTGTATCCAGTAAGCAACAGAGTGTAACGGGTTTTTGTTTCCCTTTCTCTCGTCTGTTAAATCTAACATAGACGATAGTTTCGAGGTCTCTTGTCTTGCAACGTTGATGAGTTGATTGGCCATGGACGAAGTTAACGATGCTGAACCGATCGTCATTGTCTAGTTGAGTAGTTGCTAGGCAATTATCTAATTTGCCGTAGACTTCATTAGTTGCAAACAAATCTTGTTTACTATTTAGTGAGATATCTTCATCACTTAGGTATGAGAAATCGGAACATGGTTCCGTTGAATCATCATCCTGGCCTAATCCTCAGACGGAGATCTCTCCATCCGAATGATTGAAGTCGAATTCGGCAAGCGCCTTGTCAACGGCAGCCATTTTCTTGTCCATCATGTTGATGGATCCAACAGAGGAGTCGTCCTCGTTGTCGGAGTTGTCTGACTTGCGCTTGGCAACATGGTTGCATTCGCTTTTCTTCTTGCGATCAGCCTTGACCGCAGCGTTGGAAACTTTCTTCATGAGGACAGAGAGTTCCTTCTTGGTGTAGGTCTTGGCGTCGTCGGACTTGCGTTTCCAAGTCTTGTTCTTGTTGTACGCTGGCTTGTTATCGTTGTCAGACGAGGACTGAGACTTGGCCTTGAGCTTCTTCAGAGTCATGCAGTCAGCAGTGTTGTGAGTGCTGGACTCGTGGTAGTCGCACCATTTTTCTTCGTTCTTGGAAGAGTGGTCGTTGTTGCGAGTAGACTTGTACTTCTTGCTGTTGTTCTTCTTCGTAGGAGCTTGCTTGGCATCACCGCCCTTGTCAAAGTCTTCGGAGGATTCCATGCGTTCGCAGAATCCAATGGTTTCTCCGATAGCTCGTCCCCTGCCTCGGCCTCTTCCATAGCCTCGGCCTTGGGACCTACCACCGCCACGCCCACGGCTGCAAGATTGCCTGCCATATTCGCCTCCAATTACTTCTTCTCTTGCGGTATCACTTGGATGAGCAACAGTTGTTGGGTCTTCTTCTCTGCTCCTATTCCAACAGCAAACTGTACACACCCAGACAAGTAAGGCTGTATTCCAGGGAATGAGCTCTGCACACCCAGTCTGTGGCAGTCTAGGCCAAAACTCTTGGATCAGGCGTCCCCTCTCCTTGGCTCAACCGGTTTCTTTGGTGACAATGAGGCAGGAATTGATCAAGACTGGAGGGATCAATATTCCAAGTCCAAACCTCTGCTTCCCACTTGGAAGTCTCTATCTCTCGCTCCACTTGAGAGAGCCCCTTCTTCTTGAGAGGTCTTCTGTTGCTATGCCGCTTGGAGGTCTTCTCTTCTTCTTCTCTTCGTCGTTCGAACTGTAGCTCCGAAACGGTAGCTTCGAATCGGCGACAATGGCGCTGCTTCGAATGAACGAACGAACGGTAGCTCTTCTTCTTCTTGTCGCTCGCAACGACCGATCGTTTGTTCTACGAACGGTAGCTTCCACGCCTGATAAGCCGAAAAAGGCTGATGATGGTGTTGAAAAGAGGTTGCTTATAGTTGTGTGTGTTACTACTTGGTAGTTGTTGTGTGGTTGATTTTAGTAATCTGGTAATCTGGTAACTGGATAGTCATAAATCGCTACCACAGGTCATTTTCGGTGGGGCTGGGTCGCTCGACTTGAGTGCTCAAGCCGATCCTAACGATGCCCGAGACCGAGACACGAGACACATGATAATGTCGGTCTCGCATGCCACCGGGCCTAACGCTTCCACGACACTGTGACACAAAGTGACACCAACGTGGCACTCATTATCCAATCAGATTGATGGAGTGTAATGATGTCAGTCATTTGTGCCACCTCCAAAACTGACCTCACTTTTCAGACATAATTCCATCTATAAAGGTGCAACGTAGTAGTCTTGCACACACCAGCAAGTTGTAGGCAATGGCGGCGGACAAGCTCCCCGATGCACTGCTACAGGAGATTAGGAACCTGGTAGCAGTGGAGTGCAAGGATGTCTGTATGAAGGACAGAGCTGGAGGAGCGAACTCGGTACAGCAAGAAGTTTTTATGCAGAAAGTATTTCATGGTTCCGCTGGCTATGCCTCTGTATTGGACAAACTTACTACTGGAAAGGGGGCATATGCATCTCTCTTTGACAGGGTGGCATTGGAGAATAATAGACAGGGTAATGAGGAGCGCAGTTCAGGATATATGCTGGTTCTGAAAGACATTGCCAGCTGTGACGAAGGTGAGAGAACAAGTTCTATTGAGATTGGCTATTGAACGAATTTGTCTAATCAACTGTGGTTTTGCAGGGGCGAAGTACATAGCCCACGAAAGAGGATTTGTAAAAGACAAGATAGACAAGAATGGTGAGAAGGTCCTCATGGGAAGGAACATTGGCGAACGGGCCAATACTGCCATCGCCAACTACAAGTTTGCCTTGAAGTTTGCATCTGATTTCTGTCCTGGAGGCAAATACCCCTCTGGTAAATCTTTCGAGGATATGGTTCTGCATGTTCGACAGAAGATGTACGTCAAATTGAAAGGAGGGAAGAACAATCGAACCACCAATAGAAGGACGTCAGATGCTGGTGGAAAAGAATACACGGAAGACCAGATGCCACTCAAATACATGTTTAATGGCTTCTTCGTTGCATTGCTGTATGGTCCTTTCGGCCTGGCTGGAGAGAACTTATCTTGCTTGTCACATGATGGCAGCGATCTGAAGAAACAAAGCAGAGCTGCCACAAGAAGCAAAGAGCTCCAAGCTAAGACTAAAGAACGAGAAATGAATGAGGGTGGTGGAACCGGAGTTTATCATCGTGGTGTGGCGGTCAAAGACAAGCTTGCTTGTGCCACACTTGCCATGACGGAATTGAAGGAAGCCCAGCGAAATGTGAGAGATCTCCTCTTTCACAATAGCTCTGCCGAGACAAACTGTTTGACAGCTCTTTACGTGATATTGAGAACATGTTGGTACGAGCAGAAGCAAGAGATGAGACCTGGGAGATCACCATGCTGAAAAAGCGTAAAAGAGATCTGTTCGAGCGATATGACAAACTATCCAAGCGCAAGGTGGAATTAGAGGAACAAAGTGATCGCTTGTTGCGTCAAACAACCACCAAGACTAAAGTGGAGGCGTACTATGAGGCTGTGGGCTCCTTCAATGTCCAATCAGTTCTTCCAGGAGATGGTGCTGTGAAAGTTGGAAGTGTTCCGCGAGCAGTTGCTGTTTCGGCTTCTGCAAAAGGGGATGACGAATCTTCAATCACTCAGACCGATAAGTCTCCCAATAACTATCGAACAGCTTCGGCCAGGCCTCTTCTTCCAGAACTTCCGAACCATTGCTCCCAGTTGCCTCTTTCTTCATCGCAGCAGGAAACAGAAGAGGAAACAGAAGAGGTGGACACCACCCCACTCGTGGAGCTCGTGGAGCCCTACTTGAGTGTTATCAATGTTGACAGCCGTCCGGAATACAGCAACAACAACAACAACAACGAAGAAGGCAATGACAAAGCTTCCATTGTTGTTGATTATGGTTCCAAAGAAGAGGATGATGAATCAGTGTTCGATGAAACATTGACACCCTACCAAGCTCGATTGCCTGCCGATGCTCAGCAAACCCTGATGTATTTCTGCAGAAAGGAATTCGAGATTCGGAAGAAGCAAAAGAAGCAGCAGATGACATTCCAACAGAAACAGGCGGAAATTGCACAGATGGAACGGACACATGGCCGTGATGGAACAGCCCCAAACGATTTCGTGGCTGGGAATACGTACTATGCTGGAAGCACTACCAACGCAAAAGAACTCAATGTCGGGACTGCTCAGAGCTACTATGAACAAGAAGAAGATTAATGATAGTTGGTGGCATTAAATTATTAGGAAGCCTGTTGTTGTTGACGTCTTCTTCGTTCTGGCCATTTCACTCTATGTCTTCTGAACTGAATGTCGAAGTGTTCCACTAGTTGATTCCTGAATTCATCGTACGTAAGGGAATTCACGAGGATCCCACCATGCACTGAGTACTGTTGTCCACTCATCAGATGATCATCGCTGTCGGGATCTCCCTGTCCATCTTCCGAACCATTATCTTCTGATGCATCTCCCTTCAGTTGGCCCCTCATTCTATTCAGAGCTCTGCGTCTTCTCTCTTGTTCCACCGCATTGTTCTCGTGTGCTCTACCTCCGAAACCCTGCAATTCTTGGTCCGGCTAATTGCAAATGGAGCATGATGCCGCATTTCATTGGCGTCGTTGTCACCTACTCCACCCACCCACTCCTCATCCAATCCGTCTGACTCGAGCAGCATATTGTGCAATGCGCAACAGGTAAGCCACATTTTATCAGCTGCTTCTGGTCCATCAAGGCGAATGCCTGTCTTCAGAACTCTCCAGCGTCCTTTGAGAATGCCAATTGTGCATTCTGAATCCTTTCGAAAGGACTCAATCCATTCGCTGAGGCGCTCTTCAGCCCTATGTAGATTGTGCTTCGCTGGTGCTTGTGTGCAAGCCCATTTGTGGTAGCCATTATCAACAAGGCCCCATGCTCCGCTGTACTTTGTCGCTTCCAGAGGTGACTTTCCGACTTCTCCTTCCCAAGAGAACAAGGTAAAAGAAACGTCTTGTAAGATTTCTCCATCATGCAGCTTTGTCATGAATTCATCGAAATGTGCCAGCGTCTTATCATTCCATCTTGATGGGTGTCCTCTTGTTGTGTGCAAGATCCTACGCCGGTGGTTGCAAGTGAGGTTGTAGGTTCGTGCTGGAGTACTTTGTTTGAAGCCAAGATTCGCTTGTCTGAGGTTGTGGGAGCATCGCCACATTATAACGTTGGTTGCATCTGTAGAGAACCCAGCACCGGGAAGACAGCCCGCATCGAATTCTTTTCTATGCTTGTTGTAGTCTTCTTCGGTAGTTGGCATGATGACAAATTTGTCAAACAACCAGCCAGATCCCCAGGTAATGAACCGGTGGAAAAACTGTCTATGTGTCTCTTCGTTGATTGCTGTATATTCTTCCAGGTCGTCAAAGGTGAGACCCCTTCCCAAGTAGCGAAGGGCTGCAAGCACCATCAATTCTAGTGGTGAAGCGGCAGTTCCAGCAGCATCTTTGGATCCAAGTTTCCACCGCGTTAACTCCTCCGCGGCACCAGCCCATCCCAGCAAGCGTAGACACTCTGGATAAGGCATTCGAAATCGGCGACGAAACTTCTTGTTGAATTTGTGGCAATCCAAACTGGGGGAAACCACGTACATAAGATACCAAACTGTTTGCCTTGGACGCAAGGTAACTTTCTCTCCAGCTTCGTTGAAATAATATGGTTTCAGAGACTTCATACGCCGTTTACGGCCTTCTGTTGAAGTTGTCTTTTCTTCTTCTGCCACTGTAGACATGACGGTCATACCATCATCATCCTCTTCTTGCAAACGTCTAGATATGTCTGACTCTTCTTTGTCTGCGAGAGCATCCTCCTGTGTTGCGTACTGTAGGTACCTTGCTATATCAATCTCTCCATTCTCCTTGAAGCAGCTGGCGAGGCTGATGTTGTTGCTGCCATCGACACTGTCACTGTCTTCAATTTCCATTGCTAAGCTTCCAAATTCTATACCTATTAAATTTGTACTTGGTTGTTGTTGGCGATGGAGGGACACCCCATGTTCTGGCTGAAACTATCCTTATTCACCATTGAATTAGGGATAAAAAGGGTCTCGCGAGGCATGACTGGGCTCCCGACATCTCCAAAAAGTGTGGGGAGCAAATAAATCGCACGAGATGTTTGAAACTGACGTGGAGAAATTGGTGCCATCTGGTTGGGTCCCCAATGTCTCGTGTCTCGGTCTCGGGCATCGTTAGGATCGGCTTCAGGTGCTCATGCACTGCTCATCACTCTAAAACGACCCCAGCATCACCTGTTCGGTTCTGTGGCAACGTGTTGTCAGCATTGATTGGTGAGATGTTTGCGAGCCTGCATTTCGCCTGATCGTAGCTAACAAAATAAACTATAGCGGTCAATCTGAAGTATGACTATTGCTGCCTCTATGATGGGAACTTGTTGGGACGGGTTCTACTTGCAGTAAGTAATTGAGGTATCTGATGCCAAGCTTCCGACAGTTTAGGCGCCATAGAGTATAGCGGTATGAAGAGCCTGTAGAGTCGGATGGTGACAGCGGCCATGGGCCATGTCATTGCTCCAGCTAGCCAGTACTATACAAGTACTCTGCTGTTTGGTAACCGTCTCTTCCTTCTAGCTAGAGTTCCTTTGCTACACGGGTTTTTCAAGAAATCGTTTCCTCCCAAGTTCCAAAGCTTCCAAGATCTCCATAACCCAGCATTTGCGCTCCGTAGCCGTACAGGTACGGTAGGTTGAGTTACCCGACACAGAATGCTCTCAACTCCACCAAATTCGAATCCGAATCGATCCAGCAAATGCTTTCAATGTTCGGTGGTATGGTATCCACACTATCGAGCGATTTAAAATTACATCATGAGCATTTCTGCGAGTAGCACGTCCGATGCCGGTTTGAATTTGAGTTTGGGTGGATAGTAGGATGACAAGATGCGATGTACGTGTCCTTGCAAAAAGCTTCCACCTCGCTCGTGCTCGATTCGATATTGCATTCGTTCCGTGAGTTCCTTGCGGGTAGCTTCATCCGCTTCCATTAATATCTCAAACGGCAGTGCCCAATGAAGGGTGGCTTCTCGTAGATTGGCATTGACTTCTGCGTGTAGCAAGAGAATGGAATTCCCGCCAATCGAGAGGGCATTTTTGCGTTTACGAATCTCCAAGTCTTCCAAACATCGAGTGGCCACGCTCAGAATGCGATTGGCTTCGGCCAGTTGTTGCTTGGTGGGACCCGTATCTTCCCCCATTGCCGCCTTGCTGAATAAGGACTTTTTCGTTTCCTTCTTGTGGGAAATCAACGTGGATGTGGCCTTCAAGTGTTCCAGACCAGAGTTAATCACGGATTGTAGAGCTATATTATTGGGACCACGCTTGTCGTCTTGACTGGTAGGCGGCAACGGCTCCTCATCAAAAGGAATCTCAAAGTCCACAAAATCTTCGTCTTCCCCTTCCTCATCGCTACTGTAATCCTCTTCTTCGTCTTCTAACTTGGAGGCTCTCTTCCTGCCCTTGCCATGGCGGGTGCCGAACGATCTTGTTGGGAAACTGCTAGAACTGGGGGTAGAAATCGCTTGGAAATGCTGACAAGCTGCCAAATGAGCTGCTCTGTTTGTGGAGAGACATTTCCTAGGAGTGGTGCTAAGGACGACCTTTGCAAGTCTAAGCGAAGTCCAACGGGCTGCCGATACTGTCGCCATTTCGGCAATGGGGATGATGGATGATGGATGATGGATGAGCAAGATCATCAAGGATGCAGTCGAGCAGTGATGGTCGGAAACGATTGGTCTTCATGTGAGCCAGTGAAGCGGCAAAAAGGCTCTTGTTTGGATCCAGCCCTGGTTCTCACGCATCTGAAATCATCGGGAACTGACTGGCAAGCTACTACCGGTAGTACCTATTAATGGTTGCGGTTGGTACCTGGTCATTGAATCCTTTGGTCGACCTCCATGTATCTCTCCACAGAAATGCATGCTAGATGGTACCGGAACTGTATATTAAAGATAGTCAGAATCCATGCATAAATTAGCCTCAACAAATCTGATCTTCTGTACTGGACCCCTTTTTTAGAAAGAGGATGGAGATCCTCCCTCGCTCAACCCGAGGGCTTGGCACTCCCCCTACTGTTGACAACCACGTATTTGCTGTCTATCCCTACGGTATAGAACGCGTTGGGCTTGCCAACTAACTAGGTCCTGGAAGCGATTGTTGAACGTTTTTTCTTGCGTGCAGATACCTCCTGTTGCCTGCCTGTCGGCGCCCAGCAATAGGTTAGCTGTTTTGGGGGGTATCTCTCTTCGAGAAAAGATCTGGCTGACCGACTCGTTGTCAAAAGTACTCTTGAAGGGTCAGAACGAGGTCAGCGTCCAGAGAAGGTTGCCTGAACCAATTAATTGAGGTCAGCATCTCGGAACTACGAGGGGTACAGTACCGCTACCTGCCATGTGTGATGGAGTTGATTCAGCCCAATAAGCCAGCAAAGAAGACTGTTCAGCAACAGCAAAACCGACGTCAAAGGCATACGTCACCAAAATTAATTTGACACTTGCTCACTTTAGTTTTAAGATACAGCCGTACCTATAGGTCGGGTAACATTCCTGTACTAGCTAGTATTTCCAAACCATGATATGACGATGGGAGTGCGAGTCCTGGGGGTGCTGCACAGTCAGCAAATATATCTTAAATTAGAGGCAAATGTTTATGTTGCTTGCATTTTTCTTTCTGCCAGATCATCGTGACGATGATGAGAGCAGGTCGGTTTTCTTCTCTGGTTGTGTTGCTCACGTAGGTTTGAGTTGGCACACCATCCGATGGAAATGTTGTGCCCTCCTCCGGCAACGATGAACATCAATCATTGCCTAGCTAGTTCTCTCTGGAGAAGAAAGTATACTGACGCTGTCTGTGCAGGACAAGACCGATTGGAGTCTCATTTCTTGACAGCAGAGATAATAGATTGTCAGGTTGCTCTTTCCCGTCGACACTTGAGAAGGAACAATGATGGATGATCAGGCCGAGAAGAAGGCCGAGCTGTTGCCGTATCCTTTCTTTCACTACAGAGACTTTTCCACAGAGACTGATCCTGATCCATTGACGCCCTTGACCTTTGCAGGTCGCATGCCCAACTTCCCTGCTAAAGTACATGCCATCCTTAGTCGATCTGATCTCACAGACATCATCTCTTGGCTCCCCCATGGACGCAGTTTCCTTGTCCTGAAGCCTCGTGAATTTGAATCAAAGGTTCTACCGGTGTACTTTAAGCACTCCAAGGTATGTTTACTATTTGGTGGCAGACATCGAATAGTCTGATCTTCTGCGGGTTAGGTCCCTCACTTTTCCATAGATTACATCCTTCATCAGGCAGGCCAACGGATGGGGGTTTCGTCGTGTGATGCAGGGACCGGATAGGAACAGTTACTACCACCCAAGGTGCGACTAACGCTGGCAGTACCGTTTGTCCAATGTCATCTGCCTACTGGCTGAGCAAGTCACTTACCCTTGCTTTCCTTGCCCAACACTGAAGGTTTTTGAGAGGGTTGCCTCACCTTTGCAAACAAATGAAAAGGCCTGCAAAGTCTCAGAAGGAGCTTTTGGAGACTGGAGACGAACCTGACTTCTACAAGATCTCAGAGATGTACCCTGTCCCTGAAAGAATTGATCAGGAGACCATGCTTCTTCAGTCCACACTGCAAGACGGTCCTCAGGCTAGGATGCCCATCATCTCAGGGTCAACGGCTGTTCAAATTCCAAATATTCAGGACAAACCTGCTGCTAGAAGCGAAGAAAGCGGGAAGCAAGAGATGCACTCGGCGCTGGGTGTGCTGGCAAGTGTGTCAACTGAAAACCTGGCTGAGGCTCTTCATCGGGACAGTCTCGAAGCCGGCCTTCTCCACGAAAGTCCTGCACCGGCAAATGCAGACGTTGCATATCCACCCAGTGGCACCTTGCCGACCGCTGTGTCCACCGGAAGCTTCCACCAAGTACTCGGCGTTGAACCCTCGTTGCATTCTTCTGCCGGTTCTTCACCAGCCAGCTCCGTCGTGCATGTGCAATTGCAGCCTCTTGTGCCAACTGCACCTGTTCTAGCGTCCGAAAGACCGGCTCAAGAACATTGGAACACTGCAGCATCTCATGCGAATATGCATGCGTCCAACTCTTGGGGAGGCGGTCGAACTCTTGTAGCACTTGCACCCAACCCAATCCCTGTGGGGGCTTACCCTCCAGTGGCAATTGGTAGTCCCAGAACTTCTCCTATCCTGGCCGGGCTCCCTGCTCCTCCTGCCAACATTGGCATGCCCCAGCAGGCCAACGCCGTTGCAGTGCCCCAGGTAACTGCAGCTCCGACTCCTCAAGCGAGTGCCAACGGATTGCCCCCTGTCAATGCCGTCACAGTTGTGCCTCAGGCTGCACCTCAAGCCAACGCTCCTGCAATGCCCAATACCATGGTCATGCCACAGATGCCTTTTGTTCCACAAACATCATTCCCTGGCATGGATGCTTCCTCGGCTGCCCAGTTTGCGGCAGGATTTGCCATGGCTGCAGCCTTTGGTCAACAGCAAATGCAGACTATGATGCAACAGGCTGGCAAGGGCGGAGGAATGGCAATTATGGTACCAGTAGGCCAGCAGCCCATTCAACATCACGCAGCTCCAGCACCACTTCCATGACCTCCCTTCCCTCCTGCCTCATCACTACCGTACCGTTTGAGGTGACTGCACCTTAACCCAAGTTTTGCGCTACTACTTCATTTGCTTTGCCGTCGGATATCTTTAGAATTGCAAATAGCAACTCTTCCGAAACAAAGAAAATAGCACCACGACAGTTAACATGTTAATACCACCTGACTCAACTTTGTCTCCAGTTTTGCTTATAGTTGTCGTTGGAACGACAAGAAAGGAGTATCTATCTAACGTCTTTCAGGGAAGTCTGGGTAGCTTGTATGATGCTTCGATTACTAGTATGAAGATTGGTTGTTCATGTATGTTTGGGCTCAGGAGAAAGATCAGCATAGTGGCAAGAATGGTCTATCTGACGTGCTGCTTATCAATGGAAAGGCTTGTCGGCAAAGCTCTTTCTCGTTTGTTCCAACTTGGGCGGGCGTTGAGTGCGTGCAAGTGCCGTAATCCAGGCCATGGATCCTGTGCTGCCTCAACAGGGCATCGGACAGGAATGCATCGCATCCTAAACAAGCCAACTTGCAGGCATGTTTCGCTATCCATGCAAGCGTCAGAATCGCAACAAACTTTTTCTCCATCATTCGTCTCGAACATGTGGCCATCTGCAGTTTCTTCCGAAAGCAACGACATCCTGGCATACGGAGGCATCTCCAATTCTGGAACAAGCTCATCGGCAAGGCCTGTTCGCGAGACCCTCAAACATGGTCTGGCTTGTAATTTCGCATCCGAAAGAGCCAAATCGCCATCCGAGTGGTTTGTGATGTAGGCCCTTACTTACGGAGGCAGAGTCAGGGAGCAGGAGCAAGGCAAGGAGATCATCCAATACGATTCACAAGACTGTGTGTCTGATGTCTATCGACGATGTGTTGCTATCTCTATCTATCTTCCAGCCGTGAAGCCGTGAAAACAACGCATTGTGCGGACTTATAATATGATGAAGTTATGAACACGTTAATTAAAACTCTATGTTCTCTAGTTTGAGCGCGAATGAACATGACACTGGCAAGGGGCGCCAGTGTTCTGATGATACTGTACCGGGTATAAGATTTGTTTGCCGGCACTACTACTCTAAACCGCCTACTTGGCCTGAGCCTCCAAATAGTTATTACAGTCCTCCACGATTTCCTTTGTTTCTGGAAGACTGTCAATGAGCTTCTTGATAGTTCGCAACTTCTGCGCCTTTTCGCAAGGCGATCCCGCCTTGAGACTCTTGAGTGTGTCCTTCAAGTTCTTGGCTTCCAAGACGATGGTCGTGAAGCTGAGCATGACACAGGCAACAGACGCAAACTGAGCCAGCTTGATGACATTGGTAGTTGCCCTCGACATGGCACAACGCATGTTGGAAGGCGCGGCTACAAGATCGGTAGGAGTAGGCTTGGTAACTTGTGGTTCCCCCTCCAAGGAGGCAGAAGCGTCTGCAGAGTCTTTCTTGTCGCTGGAATCGTTTTCACCAACAACAACGTCCATGGTTTTGTCGTCATCAGACGCATCATCACCATCCAAAGTTTGGGCAGTTGTCTCCTTGCTTTCTTCTGTGGCGTCCTGCTCCGCCGCAGGCACAACATCGCTAGCCTCAACGGCAGTGTCCTTTTCGAGGGCCACCTCTACTTCGTCTTCGTCGTCGTCATCAATGTCGCTGAGAGACGCCGTTTTCTTCTTCGGCGACACAACCACCTCTTCTTGTTGGAGGTCGTCATCGCCGTCAATGTCGCTGAGAGACGCCGTTTTCTTCTTTGGCAACACAACCACCTCGTCGTCGTCGTCAATGTCGTTGAGAGAAGCCGTCTTCATCGGCTTTTCTTCAATGGCGGGCTCGTCTTTTGATTCCGCAACGATTGTCGTTTCCGCCCCTTCTGCTTCGTCGGTTGTTGTTGCGGCTCCCTCGTCATTCTCAGCCATTGCATCTTCGTTGGTGGTGGTTGTCGTCTCGTCGTCCTCCACTTCTGTTTCTTCCGTCACAACGGGCACTACAGGAGGCTTTGGCGCTCGCGACTTCCAATACGCCACAGTCCGCTTTCCGGATTGCATGTCAATGTAATGCTTGGCATCGACATGCCCCTTGGCAATGCAATCCCTGAGCACGGTCGTGACGCCCAACAAGGACTGCACCAAATCGTGCAACGCCAAAATCTTGTTGGCGAGTTGATTGGGTTGACTGTAGTACGTAAACGCCTCGGTTCCAGTGGATGCCGCGGCAGCCGACGCTCCAAACAAAATGGACGCCATCAAGAGCGGTGGCCCTGCCGGAGACAAAATGGCCGCGGCAGCGACAAACTGTACGGCAATGGAAGCGACACCTGTAAACCCGGACGTGAGTCCAATCATGCTGGATCCCAAACCAATATGATCGTTCTTTTTGGACGTGTGTTCGAGGGTATCGGCAATTTCGTCAATGAATTGACTCGAGTAGCGGAGCATGAGCAAGGCGCGATCGTACGAGTCAATCATGTGTGCCATGCCCGCCTGACGACGCGCTTCGTCGTCATGAGAAAAAGTCTCAACGACATAGTCCATGGTAAACAGGGGAGCGCACTTGCCACAGACGGTAATCTTTTCCTTTTTGAATGCTTTACACGCATGCTTGGCACAGACCGGCGACGTACAAACGAGACAGAGAGGATGTCTCCTCCGCGCCTTGATGCGATTGACAACACCCACGAGCATCTTTCGTCTCTGCCGTTCTTCCGTGGTCCTAAGGAATTCTTCCCGTCGCTTCTTTTGTTCGTGAAGACAGGTCGAACAGTACTGATGAAAGAGCTGGACATTGGGAATGGCCTTGCCACCAAATTCCACTTCCAAATTGGCTTTGCGCATATTTTCCAACGCCATGAACGCGTCGTTCAGTTCCATACTCTTGGCCAAGACTTGATCCTGTTTCTGCTGTTCTTCTTCCGACAGTGGAGGACGATTAATCGTGTCGAGATCAATCTGAGTTTCTTCGTCTTCGCTCTCTTCCAGTGAAACTGTCTTGTCCTCTTCGTCGCCGGACGACTTGGCCAAACTCAGCATGTCATCTTCCTCCTCTTCGTCCGGTGGAGCTTCGGTGCTGGTGTCGAGAGAGTTGGAACCGTCAGAGCTGCTGTCTTGACGGTCCTCTACTATGCCAGCGTCTACTACTACAGAATCTGTTCGTTCTGAAAGCACATCTTCCACCAGTGGTGCTGCTGTTAACGCTGTTGCCATTGTTGTTCTTTCTGTGTGTATTGTTGTTTTCTTCTGATGATATTGTCTTTATTCAATTGTTTTTATACCTGGTCGGAATTTGCCGGTAATCGGTGGAAGCGACCAAAGCAGGTACAGTACCGTAGGTGATGATTGATTGCCCGGCAACGTGGCGGCTGCGCAACAAAGAGAGAAAATGGCAGAGCAAGGAAATGTGGCTGAAACGCTGAAACCAAGCACAGTTCGTTGGCGGGTCTTTTGTCGGAGTACCGGTTTCCCAAATTTTAACGAATACTCAAGAGTGATACTTAAATTTGCGAGGTCGCAAGACTCCCCGGTTTCTTCTTGGTACTCAGTTCTACAGGAAATTTCTCGTAAACCCCAATCAAGGGGTCACTCGCTGGTTTTTATCAGGGACTTAAGCCCCTTGGACGCACAAACACTCTCCCGGAAGGGTGCGCGCTTCCGAGGGATTGGATTCAAAGCGGGACTCCAATTCAGTGGTGACAACGGCAACGGCACAACTTTCTAACTAGCTAGCTATTTCGTCTCCTGGAGACGATTTGCTTTAGGGGTAATGGTACCGATGGGGGCAGAGGTTTGAATTATACCCGGCGCGCATTACTTAGAAGGCCCTGTAGAAGTCTACGTATTCGACTAGAAAAAAGAGAGAGACTCACGAAAAACGTGTTGATCCTGCTTTGAAGTTATATAAGGGTGTCCTGTAATGTTTACAGAGAACACGAATGTTCCGAATGGAGAAGCCAATGGTTCTCGGCTTTTTGTGAGAAAGGTAATGTGAGGGATGGTTGCCCCCCCATGATTATTCAACCGACAACGGCTGCAAGATTCGGCTTTTTTCTCAGGTCAAGTCAAATCTATCCTTGTGGAACATGAATTGGAGACTATTATGCCACGTATTTTTTATGTAACGGAGCAAGACTACACTTTCAGTACCAGATGGTTTTATGACGGAGAAGTTTTACACACCAAGATGAAGGGTAAGCAGTTCCCGATTATCAGCAATTCTGCGGACAACTGGACACAAATTCAGGGATATACTGCAGTGGTGGTTATTGGTACATTCATGGCGATACTGTCAAAACTGGGCTTACGTGGTGTTATCAAGGGTGGCGAACCATGAGTGGTTTGTTCTTATTGAAGAAGCTGGATTGGATCCAAAGAACTTTGCCATGCCACAACGAATGAGAGACATGTTTGCAAGATTTAAGGATACTTTTGGGCTTTCTGTCCTAGGAAAAGATCAATACGATGAAATGTTCCAGCGAGAAGACGGGTTCTTGTTATAAGTAAAACGGTAGGGATATAGGGTAAATTAATCTTATATAAAAATTTTATTACTACAACTACCTTTCTGAGATTCGAATTGAACCTCGTACGTCATTCAATGTCAGTCATTGAAAAAAGATCAAGCGTCCAATCAAATACACAGGCGACCCCGAAAAATTAGGAGCCAATTTTTAAAATGTGAAGAACGCAAGGCGACTTTCTTGTGCATGTACATGCGTTGACTGTTTCCCGTCAATACAATACTAT